GTTTTAGCCAAAAACTCTTCCTGTGCCAATTAGATTCTCGACAATACCAACAAAATAGCAAAAGAAAACATAACAAGAGTTGGATATTAATATAAAGATAACAAGAGCCAACATTTAAAGACCAAATCTGGTGCAAAAACTCTTTCAGAAATTTGAGATTAGATCTGTCTTCTAGTTTGCAAAATGGTTATAAAGTACGATAACTGTTTCTCATATGAAGAAAAGAATAACTGAAAATGGCTATAAGCCTGCACAAGTCAAAAGAATTTTTGTTCCCTAGGTTCAGCTTCTATGAAAGTTTGGCAACAACCATGTCGGTAGAGGATTCTACTCCTGAAGTTTCTGTGAAAGCACTGTTGGGACCTTTGTTGACAAGCCTTTGTACATTGTTAAAGCTTGAGCGATCATGCCAGCAGGATTGTCAACAGAACTTGGAAGCAGCATTGTTGTACCCTAACAAGAACAAAAAATACAACTCTGTCAGATTATCCCAAGGGACGACGACATTAGAAAAGTAGATGGGATCCAGTAATGTTGTGCTTACCTCCTTAGCAATTTTGCCAAAAGCTTGAATGTATTGCTCCGCAACTCTCAAACTTGCAGCCTGCAATATCACACCACAATTAAGCATATGAGGTTCTCATTTGGAAAGCAAAACAAATAAACTTAATAAGAGTCAACATTTGCAAGTCCAATAAGCCACTGAAATCTCTATTCAAAATCTAGAGAGAATCATTTATGGGAAAACAGGGTAGAAGACATAATGCATTCGCATTTGAAGGGTTAAAAGTAGCAATAAACACCTAAGTATTAACTAACAATTTGATAAAACAGTATCAACACCTATGTAATCAAGTTAGCTCATTTATCTCAATATTCTGGAAATCATGCTTAGAAACCACAGCTTGATCTAAGGAACTCACCTCCGCTCCACCAGCTTCCTTGAGGGATTGAGATACCATGGCCAGTCCCTTGGCTGTTGCTTGTGCTCTAGCTAATATTGCTTCAGCCTCACCTGGATCGATAGCAACAGCATAAATAAGTAAAAATGTTATGGTAAAACATACTGAGTCAGTTATGATATGAGTTTAACAGACGAATGGCTCCACATCTTATTATGATGAGTTCATGTTTTTCAACCTTAAATGCTTACTAGATACTAACCTTGTGCACGATTGACTTGGTCCATCTTTGCAGCTTCTGATTCCAAGATTACAGAACTTTTCTTACCATCAGCTCTATTGATATGGGCTTGGCGTTCTCCTGTTAAAGTTAGTATAGCAGATTATGAGAAACAAATTGAGCAGGCTTTATTCTGTTCAAATTGTAAAGAAAACGAAAAGGGAAATGGGTTGCTTTGAGCCAAGAATTTGAACGAAATGAGCACATAGTTCAATCCCAGAACATAATCTTCCAAGGATAAGCAAAGCAAATTTACCTTCAGACTCAAGAATCTGGGCTCTCTTTTTACGTTCAGCTTCAGCTTGCATTTCCATAGCAACTCTCACTCCATTAGGAGGCATGATATCCCCTGTGGACATACATATATTAGATATAGGCCTAAAGGGTATCCAGCTAACACAAGCATAGATTCAACAAAAAAATAACTCACTGATCTCATAACGAAGGCACTGAAGACCCCAATCTTTTGCAGCAACATTGATGGCTTCCTGCAAGAATAAATCCATTTCAACATGTTCAGATGCTTGCAGTATCAACTCTTATCTAACAAAAGTAAACTCAAATAGCCAGCTATCATGAAATGAACAACAACAATCTGAACTTGCAATCTTAGGTAGTAATATAACACCCACTACAAATTCACATTAACATCACCCACTACAATTTAAAACAAAGCTCAAGTACATTAAAGCAAACAAACAAAAAACTGAACCAGAAACAAAGAAGCAAAGACAACATACCACAATCTTCTCATTGAGAGTGTCCCGTTCCTCAAAAGTCTTGTCAAGAGTAATTTTCCCGAGCTCACTACGCATTGTAGTCTGAGCCAACTGCATAACAGCATAGATTGGATTCTCAACGCCATAAGAAGCCAACTTAGGATCCACAATCTGCAAAAAACTCAATATCAATGACAAATCAACATAAGAATAGCAAAAGTTATACAAAATTGGCCCGATGATCTGAAACGAAGATAAACCTTAACGTAGAGAACACCATCGATATGGATGCTAACGTTATCCTTTGTAATCGCAGTCTGATTACCAATAGGAATCGCTTCTTCCTTTAGAGAATGAACATAAGCAATACGATCCACAAACGGAACAAGGAAGTGAATCCCCGCCGGCAAAGTCGTGTGGAATTTACCAAACCGCTCAATCACACAAGCTTTCCTCTCCGGCACGATTCGGATTCCCCAGTTAGCCGGCGGATTAATGTGGTAGCTACAAAAAATAATTCCAGCGAAGATCCGTTAAACCTAACCGATCAAATCCAACAGTTTCTACTGAAAATCTGAACTCAAATCGAAATTTCACAAAGCGTATATAACGAAATCATTAGGTTTAAATACCTGTTGAAATCACTGCTGGGAGATGAGAAGTTACGGACGCCGGAAAGTTGTTGCGGCGGAGTAGCGGCAGAGGATTGATGGAGAAGCCTGGAGGCGAAGGATTTTGGCGGCGACGGCTTCTTGGTTAGGTAGCTACAAAATAAAACGAATCAATACTAAGATTCTTATCCGAAATCTGCAGTCCAATCCGTTCAAATTTCACAGAATGTATACGAAATCGTAAGCTTAAAAGACCTGGTGAGAGGACTTCCGGTAGAGCTGAAGTTACGGACGGTGGTGGTGGTGGATGCGGCGGAAAGGGAGGATATGATCTTCGGAACAGCTGCGGAAAGTAGTGGGAGGAACTTAACGGCGGCCGTGTAACCGCCGGATCTTGAAAGCGCGAGTTGATTCATCGTTGAAACTGTGTAACTAACTCTGTGAACTTGGAGAAGGGGAAATTAAAACCCAGAGAAAAACCTCTTAAATCTTTCTTTTTTTAATTGAAATGTTTCTTCAACATTTTTATTCGACGGGTTGACTTATATATAATAATAATAATTTACTTGAAGAAGAGGTTTAAAAAAAGAATTGTCAAGTAAAAAAGAAAATACTTGGAGAAGGGTCAAAAAGAGGTCTTCTTTTTTCTTTCGTGCTTATCACGAATTTGTATAGGCTAATAAAAAACCCTAAGACTTGATGAATAAACCTGTATTATGTTGTCTAATTATAAGATTACGACATGTGTTAATTATAAGATAGGATTATCACATGTGTAAAGTATAAGTTTTATAAGATCTTACATTGGAAAAAACATACTATAAAATATAAATTGGGTAAAAATATATGACAAGATTTGAAGAATTTTATTATATAAAGCTTCTTTTTTCGATGTGTTTAAAAAACTAACTTTCCTTTTTTTTTTAAATGTGTTCAACATTTTGGTAGTTTAGTAGAAAAAAAATGTTCGACTTAGTTAGTTACCATAATTAAACTTCTTTTCCTTTCTCTAAAATTTCGTTCTTTTACAAACATAACGAAAATATGCAGATGCATAAACATCCGTTCATTAAAGTTTTCTTTAATTTTCTTTCTACACTTATGAACAAAAGTACATAACTAAATTTTGATTTCTCATACAAAAATTGTGGTTATCTTTTTGTTCTCTTTATTTTGAATATCAACCAAGCAAAAAAAATGAGTATGAGATTTTTTTTTTTTTTTGAAGTATGAGAGTTCGATATCAGTAAAAGAATCAAGGATGTTTAATATTTAGATCTAAATTACATTTTCAAAATTTTCAATAGGTCACAAGTCACAATCATGTTGGAGGAGTCTGGCTACGGAGGAGAGAATATATAAAATGTTTTGTCCCTAGCCCAGAATGATGTATGGACTTTAAAAGCCCAAACGTTTCTCAATTACCAACTTTTCTTTAAATATGTTTAAAACTGATTTCAATGCAATTCGAAGACCATATAAACTGACATTTTTACTAATTCCTAAGTTTAAAGGTATATGATTGGTTTCAAATCTTTTTTTTTTTTTTTTGTCGTGACTGGTTTCAAATCTTTTAAATCGCACTTATTCTATTATTAGTAATAACATACATACATTCATAGAATTTCATATACCAAAAACACAATTTTTAGCTAATCCAAAAGTCTACATGATGACTTGTTTTCAGATGTGATATACTCCCTCCGTTTCAATTTAGTTGTCGTTTTAGGATTTAAATTTTGTTTCATAATAGTTGTCGTTTTAGGTTTTCAATGCAAATGTTTGGTGAAAATTCCAGTTTTATCCCTACTGTTTTAATGTTTTGACCAATGAAATTTTTTATAAAATATATTAATAAAGGGTAAAACAGAAAATTTAATGTTTTTCTTAATTTGTGTGCAAAAACCTTAAACGACAACTAAAACGAAACGGAGGGAGTATATATAAACCTCTTACCAACCAAATGCACACAACAACGAATCAAAATTTAATTCACAACCAACCAATTACGACTGATTGCCCACACAGCTGTGGTCCAGTGGTTGTTGAGAATTGGGGAAATATTTGAAGGAACTAACCCAGGTTCGATCCACGATGGAAACAAAAAACACATTTGTGTGGGAAGTTTGGGCTTAGACCTTTGGCCCAAGCAGTTTACCTATTAGTCCAGTAACAGGCGATCTGGCTACCCTTGGCATTAGTCGGAAAGCATTTCAAACTCGGGACAGACAGTGTGGTGGCCCTTTCGGAGAGAAGTCCACTCTGAAACACTTCGATGCGTTTCTACCGAGACTGACCGGATCAGCCGATAGGATTTATCAAAAAAAAAATTATCAGTGATTTTCAATTCCATTGTCAAACTCGTTTTCACACCAAGTTACACGGACTTAACAAAAACTTATAAACTAACTAAAAATAATAAATTCATCTAAAATCCGATTTAAAAAAAAAACACATGTGACCCTCTCGCAGACGCAGAAGTAAAACGCCAAAAGAAAACGCCATTTTTTGTCGATTCTTCGTCGTCCTTCTTTGAAATTCACACCAATTTGTCTCTCTTCCTAGAGAAACAAAGATTATTCGAAACTCGTGAAAGTTTGTTCTCCGGTCACCGGAAAATTGATTATTTCCGATGGCGACCGGTGATCAAAATCCGAGTGTGGATAAGAAGAAGAAGAATCTCTTCAGGCTATGTCCGTTTTGGCAGAGGAGAAGAAGCACTACTTCTTCATCTTCGTCTTCAACACAGAATCCAAACCAAAACTACCGTAGCCGCCATGGACATCGGAATACAGATATTTCCGCCGTCTCTAAGTCTTCCTTGACTATGTCTTCCGTTGCGAGATCACTTCTTCCAGCTCGCCGTCGTCTCCGACTAGATCCTTCAAGTTATCTGTATTTCCCTTGTACGTCGTCTCCGATTTAGCTTGATTTCGAAATAGTTTAGTTCTCTGGAAATTGATTGATTTGGTTCTGGATTTCTGTTTGTTTTTGTAGTTAGAAAAATCGAAGTTATGAACATAGAATTCTTTAGAAGCTCTACATTTTTGGATTTCCATTTTTAGAGAACGAAGTTAGAAATTGTGCTTTGTGTTTTTTTCAGATGAACCTGGTAAACAAGTGCGTAGCGCAATCAAGCTTAAGAATACTAGCAAATCTCATACTGCATTCAAGGTAATGGAGTTTTATGTATCTTTCACTTCAAATTTGTGGTTCTTGATTCTCGCATTTGATACTTATTTGAGAACAAGTTAAGCAATTGCAGAGAAGTTGACTCTTTGTTGACTTTAGTAATTGGTGCTTTTCCATCTAAGTTACTCTGTATCTTCTTGTTTAGTTCCAAACAACGGCACCTAAAAGTTGTTATATGCGTCCTCCCGGTGGTGTTTTGGCTCCCGGAGAGAGTGTTTTTGCTACTGGTAACGAGATTCTGGAAATCTTTGGTTCTGTGTACTCTTAACTAGTTTATACAGCCTCTGATTTTTGCTTCTTGTTTATGTTCAAGTGCAGTTTTCAAGTTTGTGGAACATCCAGAGAACAATGAAAAACAGAAGTTGAACCAGAAGAGCAAGGTTAAGTTTAAGATTATGAGCCTGAAAGTTAAACCAGGAGTAGAGTATGTGCCTGAGTTGGTATGTTATCTCGCTCCTTTCTAGTTCTTATCAGTTTACTAAAAAGTCCATTGTTGGAAGCAATTTTATTCAATCTTAGAATATGTTTGTAGTCATATATGACACTTATAGGCTGGAACATTGCAATTGGTGAATAGTTTCTCAAAGGATAAGCCCTCTCTGTCTCAGAGAGTCTTAAGCATAAGTCCATCGATGATGCATTTTTCGGTGTTTATTGTGCAGTTTGATGAGCAAAAGGATCAAGTAGCAGTGGAGCAGGTTCTTCGGGTCATTTTTATTGATGCGGACCGCCCGAGTGCTGTAAGTTCTTTAGTAGATTTTCATGCTAATATGACCACATATACTCTAGATTCTATAGTTTGAACATTTCATAAGGAGAATTACGAAGTAATGAATCAGGCATTGGAGAAACTGAAACGTCAATTGGATGAAGCTGAAGCTGCAGTTGAAGCAAGAAAGAAGCCTCCCCCAGAGACAGGGCCTCGAGTGGTCGGGGAGGGTCTTGTCATAGACGAATGGGTAAAAGATAATTATACCTATATAAGATCTAAAATCTTTGGTTTGTTCATTGTTGTACCTTCTTTCTCCCATTTATTCACCAATGTTTGTGTCATCTATCAGAAGGAGAGAAGAGAGAAGTACCTTGCTCGGCAACAAGTCGAAGCCATAGATTCTTCATCCTAAAAAGCAGAGAGCAATGTGGATTTGTTATACGCTTATAGCAGAGGTAAAAGAAGCTCTTTCTTCTTCTTTTTCTTTATCTTCTGCGGATGTACATAATTTATTATCCCTCGATTATCTCTAGACGATTTGTACTTTGTTGTTCTTGTATGTCTCTGTTTGTTGTGTGATTCACGCTGCTTTTTTCTCCTTCATCAAAATTTGTTTCGGTTTAATCGAATTCCGTTTGTAGTTGATCTAGAATGGAACCAAAATTTGTTCAGTATTTTGTGGTTTTGTGGTTTTGAATAAGTTTAGAATAAGAATGATGGGTTTTGTGGACAAAAAAGTTTCCCTAACCATGATCAATTTGATTGGAACATTACACAAGCCAAAGTATAAATTTGTTTTGGATGATAGGCTACCATTTTTTGATATGTCAATTGTCACCATGCTTATTTTAGTTTTAAAGTTCTTTTCTAATTTTATCAGACTCCAAAGGTCCACAAGAGTGACCTATAAAAGACTGATACCCACTAATACTAAAAGACATATACCCAAATACTGAGTTTGATGTGTTGATAAATTTTCTCCTTGCATTCAGAAACTATGATATTCTTATCTACTGGCCCAAAGAATTTGTGGACTTACTAACTGAGTTTTTTTGAAGACACGATTATAGAAAACGTTATTGCACTTTCTTTCATCGTTTAGTTAATCAATTTCAGCTGGTTACGCTAATCTAGTCTATCATATAGTGAAAAGTAACTTTATTAATTTTCTATAAATAATAATCATGAGATTAACTGAATAAGAATAGCCGCCAAAAAAATGAGAATAATATTGTTCTTAAACCTTTGAAAACACGTAACTCTAACCATTTTTTTTTGTCTTTGTACGCTAAACTCTTCTAATCCCATTCTCTAACAATAGCTAGAAACAAGAAGATTCAATGTAGCTCTATTTAACTAGCGTTCGAAAATATCATATTTGTTTGTAATAGCATACTTTATTAAACAATCAAATCACTTGTATGAAATGAGATATAAGATTCACGTGGTATATCAAATTTGGAACAAAGAGCTTAATTAAAAGTTAAAAGCACAAAAAAATCTAAAGTTAGATATGTTAATATTCTTTTATTAGAATATTTTTATTCGGAAAAAAGGGGGAAGAAAAATCGACTCGTGGATATTATGAAGGAACAAAGACAATTAGAGGTGTCTTTTGATTTTCTTGTCGCTTTATGAAAGCTTTCGGCCAATTGCGCACAATCAACAATTTCTCTTCAGTTTTTATCTCTCCTTTTTTAACTTCAAATTTAGTCTCATCAAAAGGACAAAAGAATATATTTTTATATCAAACTTAAAATCACTTAAGATAAAAGAAAAAAAATCATTCAAAAAATGAAAAATAAATAAATAAAATAAGAATTTTTTAATATAAAATTAAAAACATCGAAAGAGAGATGATTATTTCTATATATACTTTTACCAAATATATATCTAAATCTAACATAATATTTTATTTCATGCATATATTCGGGGGAAATAAATTGTGTTTAATATTACGTGCTTAAAACGTAACTAGATCATTAAGCTAAGACTTGTAAAACACGTACATCATAATTCATAAATGATTAGATTATGAATAATAATCAACGTATATGGTTAGTAAGTCGATTAAACAAAATTAGAAAAAGAGAAAGAAAAAAAAAAACCGTTTACGGCAGTGTTTTAATACCGCAAATTAGTTTTTAACACAATTTAAGAAAAATTAGCCTAACAAATAAAAAGTTTAGTGACTCTGTCACTGTCTCTTAATCCGTCACTGAATTAGTATCCGTTGCAACTTCTATAATCCTATAACAAATAAACTGTTTTTAATTATTGTATCAAAAACTTCAACTATATAAACCGACACAACTTAAACAAAGATCTCGACCAGAACGTCTACAACGCATAATTATGTCCATGCATTGTTTTTTTTCTTTTCATAAAAAGATAACAATAAAGACTTTACTAATTACTATAAAACTAATTTAACAACAAATCGTATCTCAATTTCATGAAAAATGGCCGAAAGAAATAAAACATGGACCCGCCCATCGAATCGTGCGTTAATCAAAAGCAATATTCATTATCATTAAATAAATATTCATTGACCCTTTTTAAAAAAGGTTAACGAACAAATTCAGGAAATAAAAATATTTATTTTCCGAATCTATATAACAAAGTGCTTCACCACCATAAACACATTCACTACATGCAGAAGTCACGTATATATTAATGTTCATGAACTCTTATCCTCAAATAGCCTAAGCCTCAAATTAATCGCTAAAAAAGTTTCTAATTTTGGGTTTAATTTTTGTTTCGGTTTTTAATTAATCGATACTCAAAAAGAATTCGAAAGAGCGGTCACGACGTTTCATAGAGAATCGTCATCTTCTTCTTCTTCGGTTTTGTTCTCTCCTTTTTTTGATTTTCACCGCCGGAGATTTTGTATTTTCCGATTTATAAATTTTATTCGCCGGCGGTTTAGAGATAATGAAGGGGAGGATATCAAAAATAGGAAGCTATGCAATCTCATCTTCCATTAGAGATCAACATCAGCAGCAACCTTGTATTTCTTGTACTACTTTCAACATCCTTGCTCCGATCTATAAACGTCTCTCTCACAAGGTACTTTTTGTTCTTCTTCGTTAATCAATCTCTTGATTTTGATGTTTTTGAGGATTTTTGAATTTTTTGTGGAAATGTAGGATCAAAGTCTTCGTGAAAGCGATAATCGAGCGTATTGGCTTGGAAGGAATCATAGAATCCTTGATTGGTTATTGTATGAGAGATCTTCAATCATATGTTTACAGGTGTTCGACGAAATTCCTCAATGAAGATGTGAATTGTGTTTTGTGTTCTGATTTTTGATTTTTTATAGGAGTTTTGGGTAGGCAATGAAGAGCTTGTTAATTTATATGAGAAGAGACTTGGTGACGCTGGTTATTTAAGTTACAAGCTTGGTCGTACTAATAATCGTGGTGATGGTAATTTTTTTGTGAATCTTCTTCTTTGGTTTTTTTTTTTTATGTTGTTTCAAAAGGATTTGAATTTCTGAATTTCTGTGTTAATAGGTTTGCTTACTGCTGTTCATAAGGACTATTTTAGAGTTGTGAACTCGAGGGATTTGCTCTTTAATGATTGTGGTGATCGAGTTGCGCAGTTGCTACATGTAGAATTAGTTCCTCCTTACTCTCAGTATGATGCTCATCAAGAAGTTTTGATTGTGAATACTCATTTGTTGTTTCCTCATGATTCAACATTGTCTATAGTAAGATTGCAGCAGGTAGACTTCTGACCAACTCCATTGTCATTGTGCGGATGATTTTGTAGCTTTCTTCACAAGATTTTTGTTTTGATAGGTATATAAGATTCTTCAGTATGTAGAATCTTATCAGAAGGAAGTTAATCTCAGTCCTATGCCTATTATTCTTTGCGGGTAACTACCTTGTTTAGATTGTACATTTTCATGGTTCGATATAAGGAACAGTACTCAAATTTCTCTGCTTCTCTATTTGTGTCTTTGTTAGCAGAGATTGGAACGGAAGTAAGCGAGGGCATGTCTACAAGTTTCTCAGGTCACAGGGTTTTGTGTCTTCTTATGACACTGCTCATCGGTACACAGATTCAGATGCTCACAAGGTCACTGTCTTTCTTCATATGGCGAATACTTTTGGGTATGCTGTAGATTTTTTCGATGTTATAAATTGGCGATCGGGATTATGAAACTGTTGTTATCTTTGGTTTAACAGTGGGTAAGCCACCGGAATCATCGGGGTAACATATGCGCTGTCGATTTCATATGGCTTTTAAATCCAAATCGGTATAGAAAGCTGCTAAAAACAAGTTGGAGCGAGGCAGTGTTTGGCATGTTCAGGGTGAGACTCTCCTCAATTGTGTCTTATCACAAGCTTTCATATCTTAGTGAATTTCACTGTCTTTTTAACATTAACCTAGACTTTACCAGCGAAGAAAAATGTCTCTTCGTTTACAATTCTTGTCTAAATGATTTCTGGGAACGGTATTGTTTTCTGGTTTCTCCCTGTAACATCAGAACATTTGTGATATGCAGTATCTACTAAGAAGAGCTTCACTAACAGCTGAAGATGCTTTTGCTTTTCTGAAAACTGACAATGATGGTGACCACATTACATTCATGGGCTTCTGTGAGACTCTTCGGCAGGTATATAGAATTTGTAACGCAGTTAATCATATTCTTATGACTCCTTTATTCAGCTTAATGTTCACAGAGTTTTCTCTTTCTTAATTTCCTTCTCTTTCTCTATACAGCTCAATCTAACAGGTCATTGCAATGGACTAACGACAAAAGAGATCAAAGATTTGTGGATTCAAGCTGACATTGATGGAAACGGTCTTCTGGATTACAAGGAGTTTCAGGTAATATGTTTCTTCATTAGACTCCTCTCTCTAGATTACAATGAATTTTCTAGTAGTTTGAGTAACAATAGCTGAACATAATCACAAGTGAACATCTAGACTTTTAAAATTAAGAGATTCAGTAATGCTAATAGCATCTAAAACCCTTGTTCTTGCTCTTGAAACCACACACATGTTGCTCAATGCTTATGTAACACATTGCAGCAAAGAATATGGAACCAAACCTGGTCAGAACAAAGAGATGCAGAGGACGGAGAAGCAAAAGGTAACCAGGAACAAACCGTTGGATTCAGTGTCAAGAACGCGGTTCTGTTTCCACCTGAAGTTGAAAAAGGAATGTGGCCAGAAAATTACTCTCTATCAGATCACGCGAGACTCACCGTTGTATTCTCACCCATAAGAATGCCTTGCTCTCAATTGGTTTCATGACAAAAACACTCACCAAGCAAACTTTAGCTTCTTCCATTTAAAGAGACCTCTGAGTTTTGGTGACCCCTTACAGAGAAGTAAACCTAAGCTCTGTGTCCATTGGATCGGCTTGAATGATCTCACTTTGCGGTTACTGCGTTGGGGGGGAAGAAGAGAGAAAGAGGACTGAGGTCAATAAATTTTTACTCTGTACAAAAACATGTAAACTAAATATATAGCTTCATGTAAAAAAATGTTGTAGTAGAGATTTAAGAAGCAGCTTTTTCATTTCTGATTTTGCTCTTTTTTTGGTTTTATTTTTGCAATTTAATTAACTCCAGAGACTTTCATAGAGAGATTGTTAGATAGAAAATTAAATCAACATAGTGCATTTTCTTATATATTAATCTTTTTTTAAAAAACAAGAAAAATAATGCCGCCAAAAAAGAGGAATAAATTATTTCGGAAATTAATAAAAATATCAAAAAAAAAAAAGGAACAAGTTTCAATCTTTGGATTGGTGCTTCACTTAGCCACCAAGTGTGTAACTTTCAGGTCAATTTTCCGATCATAGCTTTTTAGGGTTCCGTTGACTTCAAATTGACATGGCTAATTCCTCAATCTCAGCTCTTCTTCTTCTTATCCTTGTAATCGCTAGTTCCGTCAATGGAGGAGATCAAGAGTATTCACGTCAATTGCTAACAGAAGCTTTGGGTGATAAAGAATGGTTAGTCTCTATAAGAAGACAAATCCATGAAAACCCAGAACTCCTTTTCGAGTTACACAAAACCAGTGCTCTGATTCGTCGCGAGCTTGATGAATTAGGGGTTTCTTACTCTTACCCGGTTGCGAAAACCGGAATTGTAGCTCAAATCGGATCCGGTTATCCTCCGGTTGTTGCTCTCCGTGCTGATATGGATGCTCTTCCCTTGCAAGTAAACTCGAATCTCTCTCTCTCTCTGATTGTGTGTTAATTTCTTCGTAATTCTTCTATAGATTGATTTGCTGCGATTCAGGAACTTGTTGAGTGGGATCATAAGAGCAAAATCGACGGAAAAATGCATGCTTGTGGTCATGATTCACACACCACCATGCTCCTTGGTGCTGCTAAATTGCTTAGCAAACGTAAACATAAGCTTATTGTAAGCTTTCTCTTCTTTATTCTTAAGTTTGGTTGAAGTAAATTTGTGGGATTAGCTTAGCAAACGCAAAAGGATGAATCTTGTATTGTCTTGTATGTACAATTAGTTTGTTGTTTGCCACAAAAAGGATGAATCTTTCTTTGTTTTGGTCTGATTTAGAGAATGTTGTAGCTGTAATTATGTTTGCTTTGCTTATAGAAAGTGTTTAGTCTACTTGTTGTGAATGAAAGATTACTCTTTTTGCTTAATCAAAAGGGAACTGTGAGGCTTCTTTTTCAACCAGCAGAAGAAGGTGGTGCTGGTGCTTTTCATATGATAAAAGAAGGTGCTTTGGGTGATTCTGAAGCAATATTTGGGATGCATGTTCATACTGGCTTACCTACAGGAGAATTAGAAACAATCTCGGGTCCTGTTATGGCATCCACAAGCATTTTCAGTGTAAGAATAAGTGGAATATTACCGGCTTCTTCGGAGACATATGCTTGTGTTGATCCGGTGTTGGCTGCATCATCTACCATCTTAGCATTGCAACTTATAGTCTCCAGAGAAGTAGATCCTCTCTTAAGCCATGTATGTTGTCTACTTTTCCATTCGATAAAACTAACGGTTGTTTATGCATATAGATCTTACTATTTTGCAATACCAAATCTTAAGTCTTTCTGGTGCTAAAAGTTCATAGTTTTGGTTTTAGGTGCTGTCTGTTACATTTATGAAAAGTGGCGGTTCTGAGTTTGATGTGATTCCGGCATATGTAGAATTTGGGGGAACTTTGAGGAGTCTTACAACTGATGGCATGAACTTGTTGATAAAGCGGTTGAAAGAGGTATGTACACGTGGTTTCGAAACAACCTTTGAGTATTCGATGCAGAGAAAAAACCGAAATTTGGTTTCGAATATCTTATGGATCTTAATCTCATCTTTTCCCTGATGATCAATTTCAACCTTAAAAGTAATTTATTGTTCAAAAGATTTTATTGATTTTGACTCCTGAATCTCGTTACTATGATCTAGTAAAGCTTTCATAGGACAAAGGCATTGCTATATACAAGATCTCTTCCATGATACACAATCATGAATGTTCAAATGTAATGTAATCTTCAGTTCGATTTTCAAGCCAGAGCTAACCCGATTGTTGCTGACAGGTGGTTGAAGGAGAAGCTGAAGTTCATAGATGCAAAGTGGATATAGATATGCATGAAGACGATCATCCTATGTATCCAGCAACAGTGAACGATCACAAGCTACACGAATACGCTGAAAAAGTTTTGAAACTCTTGCTTGGACCCGAGAAAGTGAAACCGGGTGGCAAGGTAATGGCGGGTGAGGATTTTGCTTTCTATCAACAAAAAATACCCGGTTACTATCTAGGGATCGGTATCAGAAACGAAGAAATCGGTTCTGTACATAGCGTTCATTCGCCTTATTTCTTCCTCGACGAGAATGTGCTTCCCATTGGATCAGCATCGTTTGCTGCCTTAGCTGAGATGTATCTACAAGAGCATCGGAATCAAACTAAGTCTGGAGATTGAGAAAGTACTAAAGAAAGCTTTAGATCTAAGTCTCTTAGTTAGTTGCCTTCATAAGTAAATGCTATCTTTATGAAATTACAACTTCAAGAAATCAATTGTGGTTTAATAAAATTGTAAGTAATGGGTCTCACATTGTATGTGTCTGAGTCATCCAAAACGATGCAGTTTGATTTTGAGATACCGACAAAAAAAAGCAGGTAAATTTTTATGATAATAATAAGCAAATGAAGTGACATTTGAACCTATCCTAATGACTACAAAACAATCACATTTGTGAATATATTTATATTTCCAATTTGTCTATTTTGATAAAGCAAATAAATTATCAAACATAGGGAGCATATTAGTCAGTAGAAAAGCAAAAAGCAGCATTCAGTCTCTATAAATCTAAGCAAAGTAAGAGCTTTCTTTTGTATTTTTATAAACTTTAATTTGCCTTTTTCCTAAAAAAACAAAAACTAGACAAGATAAAGATGAATGAGTCATATGACTCTAAAAAAGAAAGGACAAAAAGTGATGGATTAGTTTAAATAATTTTCATCTAAACCAAAAGACAAAAAGTGATGACAAAAATGGCTAAAAGTCTAAGTAACACGACAATCGAGCTCAACAACATGCACTTCATCTTCTGCATCTATATTATACTTCTTATGTTCCTCTAGTTTGATGTTTTGATGTTTTGTATGAACATCATTATTACTTTTATTTGAGACCAACAGAAAAAGGAGAAAAGTAGAATTAACATTATTAAACTAACAAACAAAAAAAATATAAATATATATATATATTTTTTTAAATTGTGTGAAAAAACCTAAAACATCATTTTTCAAAGAACGGATGAAGTAGTTTAGTATAGTATATGATTACTACTATTTCTCACTAGGAAATTATTGGCTTATATAACCAATTGATGAACCATTATTAGGTAAAAAGAAAACTAGATAATAAAATAGTGAATGATTCGGTAGAAAAGGATAAAGTTGTTTCAATACACTCACCTAAACAAGTCGATTATGGTCCAAACGAAATCCAAATTGAGATAAGTGTTAAAAACTTTTCGTTGCTAGTTGAATTTTTTTTTAAATATGAAACTGAAAATATTAAACAAACAAGCATGAAAACATTTGATTAAACCATTCAAACTAGTAAATATCGACGTGTTAGGAAATATCGGCAAAAAGAAAAAGGTCAGTTTTAAAATCTAAATCTTAAATCTATTGATATCTTCCTTCTCCTATTAATTTTGCATGCTCATTATCTTATACGCGATTTCGGAACAAAAGTTCTATTGGCTCTTTAGAGAATTTTAATTCTAGAACCTAATCTGTCACTCGTAATATAAGCTCTTCTCTCACTTGGAAAGCCATGAAGAAGACCTTCAATTGCTTCTTAAACAAGTTTCAATCACGTAGTCGATAATCTCTCGGATCACGTGACTCTCGTTGAATCTGTCAATTTATTAACACTAAAATAAAATCTTTCGAATCAAAACTTTTAAATGGCCAAATCAAGGAAGTCCACACATTCTTTAATTATGGAGGGAGGTTGAGAAAAATCTTCATCATATCTTCTCTATAGAACATGCATACATGCATGTTGACACGTATATAAACTCTCCATTATTGGTTAATATCGTAAACCCCCAACATAATATTATAAACACTACTACTATTTCCCGATATTTTCTTCTTGTAATTTAATATTTGGACCCAAAAAAGTTACGTATCTTTGCAGTTTACACATACTAATTAAGGCGTTATTGAATGTATCTTTATCCAATCATGTCAATTTACATTTATAATTGTTTAATATATTAATAATTTTTAAAAATTCTACAATGTTTTTAAAATTATCGAGAGTAAATGTTAAGGATCTGATCATATAACCTTTTTGCAGTTTTTAATATCTAGTTAATGTAGTGTTGCCCTTACAATGACAAATTTTCATTTTATATATATTTTAATTTTATTTAAATTAATTTCTATAATTGGTTTAAGTATCCTGAATTGGTCAGCTATTTTACCTATATTAAATAAAATATTTAACGAAATATTATAGTAGTTCATATTAGTACGGACACAATGTCATCGTATCCTCTCAGATCCATCGCTTTAACTTGATTGGTTATTTTTTTTGTTATATTTCATTGTAAAATTAATGATATTTCTCTAAATTAGACTATCTAATGTTTTTTTAATAAGAAATTAATTAGCCAATGAATGCCCTTGTTGGATTAGTCGTTTAATCGCTGTAACTCTCAAATGAGTCACTTAGACCATGTACATAGGAGAACTTTTAAGAGTATCATAAGCCAATTTATTATTTTTAAATAGACCAAACATGTTTTATGGGTCTGATCCGTATCATCCCAGTGAAACTCATGATACTGGGTATCATGTGACGTGGCAGGGCGTGATTGGTCGCAGAAAATTTTTTTGCCGACAGAAGAGAAAAAAAAAAATCATTTACTCTCTCTCGATTTTTTCTCTCCTCTCTCACGGCAATTTGCCGATTTCTTCTCAGCTCCGGCCGGTACGACGTAGATCTGTCGCCGTGGAGAATCGCAGTACCAAACCAATCTCCCTGTGAGCGACGGAGCTGCTTCGGTTAGGAATAACAGAGGAGGAAGAAGCAGTTGTTGTTGCTGCGATTGGATCTCTAGTTACTTTAGTCTCAGTTTCATTCATGGAGGACAATTTGCTGCAGCTTGAGAACGATATCACCGATGAAATAAGCTTTTCCATGACCAAAGTAAGGCATCCTTATCTCACTCGCAAAAAATTCCATTGTTTCTATGTTGAGAATTCTGTAACGTTTGTTTCTTTTCTTGAGCCAGGTCTTGTTGTTCTCGTGTCTGGAACCACTTATAGACATTGCAGAACATCAAGCTTGTGCTTAACGATGATGGACTGAACTTCAAGCTTCTCCATCGTCCACGGTAATGTTCTGTTCTTTCATCCGAGAAAAATATGAAGGGACGTCGTGTTATAGCTTGAGAAATACAAGGTTGTTGGTTTAGATTCATAGGATTGGAATCAAGAAATAGATTTGTTTGATTGGGTTTGATAAGAATGGGTTTATGGCTGCAAAGTTTCTTGGTTTTGCTGAGCGCACACAAGGTGTTTGATAAATTGCCAAAGAGAAAAACGGATTGGGTTTATGCAAATTTTAGTTGGCTGATGGATGAGAATCAAATAGTGAGTAGGTTTTAAGGAGTTGTGGAAGATATTCTTCGTCACCATGAGACAAGTTAGAGGACTTAAGTGGGTAAAGAAACCCGGATTTTTTTTTACATCTAGTCAGGTATATATGTGTAATTTCGCTATAGGTTTTGTTTTGAAAATGAATCTTTTAGACTTGAAACGCTTTCTCAAGCTTATGACTTGTGGATATAGGGAGAGGAACTGAGAAAGCAAATTGGTGCAGCTGCTTATATCGAGTGCAGTTCCAAGACTCAACAAGTAAGTTCCCTGACTCAAGAAGTAATGTTTTGGTGAGAATGTTAGAATCTTATGATGACTTTACTTTGGTTATGTTGTAGAGAGAAACATGTATGATCTTCCTTTTATTTTTCACTTTCTCCATTTTCATGCACCACATGGATATAACCAGTTTGAAATGCAAACGAGTGATTTCTTGTATGAGCTTATCCAAAAGACTAGAACATGCTCATATTTTAGCTCATCTCTTATTTTCTGAATGTACTAAAGTATGCTAACCCTCTCCTTTTTTCCCAGATTCCATGGCCTAAGCCTCCTACAAAGTGGGACGACTTCTGTGTTCTATAGTTTGAATGTACTAATGTTTATTTGGTTTGAAATTGTTCTTGGTTCTGTTTCTTAGGTATACTGATCAGTTTATACTTTATTTTTGAAAGGAAACCAAGTTTTTTTGGATTGTAATATTACATTTTCTAATCTTATGTTTTTATATATTTATTTTTGATTTTGCAAATAATTTTTTTTTTTTATGATACTTAAACCAGTTTCACCAATGTAAACAAATTTATCAACAGTATCATAAAAAATCTCAAACAATAAACAAACATTAAAATTAATACTAAAAAAATGTTAATGATACTCATAGAGTATCAACTATGTGCATGCTCTTAAAGGACCCAGGCTTTGTTAAATTAATATAGAAGGTAGGGTAAGTTTTTTTTTTTTTTTTTTTTGACAGCAGAAGGTGAGTTATGTTTGAATAGCCGCTTTTCGATTTTTTTACGTTGAATTTGGAATTGACTTAGAGATTTATTTCATTTATAATATTCGGGGTCACACAAAGCTCTGAAAAGAAAATATATTACAGATAATAATTATTTTTTCCCAAGGTGTGAACGTCTAGTTTGTCAATAGACTGGATTTTGAATTTTTGAGTATATAGAAATTGATAACTTGAAAATATTTCTTTTAAATAAATCACTACATCGACGAAGTAGCATCACATATGTATGAAAATGTCCTAACATATTGAAGGCCTCAAAGGCTAGTGATTCAATCCCCTGTATTGACATCTCAAGAGCTGCAATTTGATTTCACCTACTCACAAAGGGTTAAAAAAAGAGAGCTAATGGGCTATATATGTAATAAAAAAAAAAAAAAAAGAAAGAAAAAAATGTACATAATTACTGCCGGTCATTGAAAAAATAAAATATAAAAAATGAAAATATCTAAATGAATACTACAATTGAATATTAGTGTAAATTTATATATTGACGCATCAAAATTCTGTATAGTCTTGTACAGAGGCGGACCCATGTGGAAGAAAGGTGGGTCAGATGACCCCCCTTAAATATATAAGTTAAACATTTAAGCAGAGAATTATGTTGTTTTGTTGGCTTAATTGGTTAATTATTGGTGTCTTGACCCACCTAAACCCACGTTCAACACCGCATTGCTTCCATTATTTCCCCTATTTTTCATTGGGTCATAGCCCATTGTTTAAACTTTGGCAATAATTGTTTTGAAAGTAGGTAAATTACTTATTTTCACTTGTTTTCTCTAGTCTCCATTTCAATTTATTTGCAAACCAAATATATAACTTTGTAAACAAAAAAAATGATAAAATAATATCTTAAACGCAATTCAAAAACTTGTATAACTTTGTAAACAAAAAAAATGATAAAATAATAGCTTAAACGCAATTCAAAAATGATAAAGTATATATTTTATATGAAGGGCAAAAATTTTTAAACATATATTGATTTCTTTTATAAGTTTGACCCAGGTAAAAAAAATTTCTGGGTCCGCCACTGGTCTTGTATTAATTCAATTTTTTATACGATGATTCGATGGAAGACTTTTATACATATCGATCATAATTGGAGTCCGAATCTGAACTCGAACCCAAATTTCCATTGCAATGCAGTCTAAACTCTAAAAAACAATCATCTCTAGTTCTTTTTTTTTAGTATTACACTTTAAAAGCGTATTTTGAAATTGGGTTCTCCTTTCTCCAATCATAGATTAAAGAAACAGGAGGCGGAAAGGGAAGGGCAACCATATCCAATATTATACGGTAGGAAGATATGGACCCCCTTCGATATCCAATCGATAATCTTCCCTCGGTATTTGATTTCACAGATATCTAGTACTCCCTCTGTTCCTAATAGTTTGATGTTTTGGAGTTGTCACACATATTAAAAACTCAATTATTTTTTGATCATTTTAAGATTGTTTTTTAATTTTAAATATTTTTGATAATTATCAACCAATAGTAGTGTACGAAAGTTAATGATTTATAATCATTGTATCTTGAAGTTTACAATTTACTATTATAAGTTAATAAAAATAAAATAAAATTGCTAGAAAATCAATCTTTGTGGAACAAACAACAAAAGCTAAAATATCAACCTTTTAGAAACAGAGGGAGTATCAATTTTTGTAATTTGTAAGTCCACTCTTTGATTTTCTGCAAAGACAAAACCAAAATAAATTAACATTTGATTAGGGACCATATCATTGCGGCAAGTCTTCCTCTTACTCTGATTTTTTTAATTGTTCTACTTAACATCTCTAACCATCCACTAATTGCTAGTAAAATGATTTGGCCATGGATTATATAACTCGTAAAGCACAGTAATACTTAACTACTAAGATTCTTAATGTTAATATATTTTCTTTTACAAAAATCTAAATTATTAGACTCACAATTAAGAATTCATCTCGATTTTCGGCTGATTAAAACACCTATTAATTAAATGTGATGAATCTGATGATGTAACATTAGGGCAACATGTGAACGTGGCAAGTTATATACACACCATTAAATAAGCCATTAATTACTATTCAATATTATCTCCAACAAGAATCGACACATAATATTTGATGTTCATATACAACTACAAAAAAATATTGGTCCATCGTTAACTTTAATCATATATGATATACCGATCGATCATTGAGTTCTTAAATCCTTTGGTTGGTAATACAACAAATATATATGGATAAGTTTGGCATATAGAACATTGGGAAAAATGTCGTTTTATCTCCCAACTTTCAAAAAGTGGCCAATTAATACGTCAACTTCATATGTGGCCATTTAAAACATGAAATAAACGTTGACTAACGTTTGAGACATGAAAATTCGTTGACCAGGCCAAAATAGACATGCCGTTATCAGTCGTTAACGGAACCTCTAACGCCCGTTATCACCCGTAACGACTCTGTTAATCAACTTTAAATTGTGGCCAATTTAAACATCAACTTCATATGTGGCCATTCAAAACATGAACTAATCGTTGACTAACATTTGAAACATTAGAATTCGTTGACCAGGCCAAAATAGACATGTCGTCATCATTCGTTAACAGAACCTATAACATCCGTTATCACCCGCTAACGACTCTGTTAGTATGTCCAAAACGATGTCGTTTTAAAAATAATCGAGAGAAAATCAGGACAAATTTTTTGTTTAAAGCATAATCCAAGGACATGGTTTGATATAGAGACAATCGTAGAGCTAGTAATTGGAAGCAAACATCGTTTATATATTTGTTTTAAATCTAAAAAGGAATCATGAAAGCAAACTTGTAGACCCATCATAGGACTAAATTAGGCATGGGCGTTCGGATATTCGGGTCGGGTTCGGGTCGGGTTTTTCGGGTTTGGGTTTTTCGGGTTTAGAAAACTAAGACCCGTTCGGGTATTTTAAAACTTCGGGTTCGGGTCAGGTTCAGATCGGGTATTTCGGGTTCGGATTCGGGTTTACCCAAAGTATCCAAATATTAGAAATTTTGTATCCGATTCTATGCAAAGTATTGAAAAATACTCAAAAAATCTATAAAACCCAAGTATTTTAACCCGAATCTAACCCAAAGTAGCTAAAACACCCGAAAATATCTTAACATCCAAATAATTTTGGCACTTAGGTTATTACAAGTATAAATATTACTAATATATTATAACTATGTACTTATATTTTGGGTATATTCGGGTATTTGTTCGGGTTCGAGTTCGGGTCGGGTTCGGGTTCGGGTTTTCGGGTTGTGAAGTTTATAATCCGTTCGGGTATTTTAAAACTTTGGGTTCGGGTTCGAGTCGGATTTTTCTGGTCGGGTTCGGTTCTGTTCTTCGGATTCGGGTATTATGCCCAGGCCTAGACTAAATGTAGCTTTTCAGAAATGGAGATAGAGATAATAGGACTATTCATCTTGTTTGAGCTGTTGTAGAAATAGATTTGGGGATTTAGTGTTTTCATTTGGGAAAAATCTCTTTGGACATACTAACAGGGTCGTTAACGGGTGATAACGGATGTTATAGGTTCTGTTAACGAATGATGACGACATGTCTATTTTGGCATGGTCAACGAATTCTAATGTTTCAAATGTTAGTCAACGATTAGTTCATGTTTTGAATGGCCACATATGAAGTTGATGTTTAAAATGGCCACAATTTGAAAGTTGATTAACAGAGTCGTTACGGGTGATAACGGGCGTTAGAGGTTCCGTTAACGACTGATAACGGCATGTCTATTTTGGCCTGGTCAACGAATTTTCATGTCTCAAACATTAGTCAACGTTTATTTCATGTTTTAAATGGCCACATATGAAGTTGACGTATTGATTGACCACTTTTTAAAAATTGGGAGATAAAACGACATTTTTCCCATAGAACATTAACTGTTTTGGCATTTAGATGCTGTCAAATTAACTGTTTTGAATATGCCTTTTAGACCCTGGTAACTAATAATACTCCTTTGTTTCCGAATAAATATTTTTTAAAAACACTGTAGTAGTTAATTAGTAGCAATTAAAATCAGTTTTTATTTTTATATGCATTCAAATCATCAAATGGTAGAGAATTTGTCTTGAGTTTTAGAATTTAGACCATGATCGAATCCTTTTATTCACTTTGGTTATTATTATAAATTTAAATGACAAAATTAAAAAAAAAACTAATGTTTTACATATCCTTGAGATTTGTTTTCGTTTCGATATAAAGTTACATATTCCCGGTTACATATATACATGTTGATTATGGATAAGAGAATGCTATTTATTTTTTGTTGAAAAGACAAATCAATTATTGATATGCATGTAGCCATGTACTACTATGTACAGTCGTAAACAAATAATTGATAAAGTTATTATATATATGTGAATGTAAAACAACAAATTCTGATGAAAATCCAGCTAATATAATAAGTACAATTTATAACATCCTCTGTATACATCTGTCTGGTTATTTCATTTTAAAAGAAAACCAAAATATTTTCGGCTAAATTTCAAGTTCAATGATGAAGTATCAATTATAGGAACATTTATTTATAGCTATAAATCTAGCTTTTGATGATGATTATTTTTTGGAATTAATTATTCCAACCTGATTTGTTTTACATCTACTGTACACTGTGCGTGAGAAGCGGGTTATTTGAAAAAGAGATATTAAAAAAAAAACAAAAGACAAAATTAGAAAAATATAATAATGTAAAGGAAAAATCTACTACTACATATTATAGTATTGAAGTGTAAAATGGTCGTCTATATAATGACAAAGAGGTCTCACAAATTCTCACTACTCAAATCTTCATCGCTTAGATCTTTCTTTAAAAACAAATCAGAAATTTTCTTAAGAGTCAAGAAAATTTCAAGAACCTAATCGATAATGATCTCAGTGGTGATTATTACTGAGCTACTAGTAGAGTACACGGCTGCTCTAGCTAAACTCACCGCCGGGATTCTTCCACGGCGTACCGGCGATAGAAACTCCGTACGGATCGGCGGTTTTCTCCTTCCTACACCTTCTTCGACATCGATGATTCCTGATTTCTCTTCTCACCTCGTTGATTTCTGATTTTGTCAACCTTTTTTTTGGTTTTTGACTTGAGATTTGCGTCCTCTCTACTATGATCTAATCGATGAGAAGCGACTGAGATTTTTTACCGAGTGTCTCGTCGTCTTGAATCGCGTTTTCTTGAATCGCATAGAGCTTTGTAAAATATGTATCTAATTTATATATATAGAGAGATGATTGATGGTTTTGAAGAAACTAATAAGTTTACTCGAGCTTTTTTTTTGCTGCCATGTGATTTAAATTTTTATAGTACTTTAACATTGTTAACATTGTTAAAGGCTATGATCTTGATCTGTAATTTCATAACTAGATCTCTATTTTGGTTTATGGTGAATGAAATCTTGAATTCGAATTCGCTAATGAGTTATTTTAAACTTTTGGTTACATTAGTATTCGATAGTATTTGACATTTGAAGTCATTGATCAGTAAATTCTTTAGACTTATTAGAACATTCAACATACTATATGAATAATGAAGTAGCTAGCCTAGTTGATATTTACGGAGTAATATTAAATTGAATAATGTATAGGTTAAAGACTTTGAACGTTCAAACAAGTTAATTTAATGGGAGAGTTTGTAACGTACGCCATCTTTATAAATCGCACTAATTCCAAAGCTACAAAAAAAAATAAAAAAATTTGATGGAGAATATGTTTACTAAATCAAAATGAAACCAAACTAGCTTGATTCAGTGGTCGGTCGACATCACTTCATTTGCTTTTGTTAAATATAATTATTGTATTTTATATTATCTTACGCTACAATTTTAACAAACCAGTTTAACAAACCAGTTTAAACAAAGCCTGATTTTAGAATTGTTGAGGCTAATTGCTGTGAACGAATCAAATATGCATGCATAGATGTGGCAAACATTCATCAAAACCGTATATGAACAAAAAATCTCAAATTTTGAAGATACAAAGTTCCAAACCGTATATGAACATTTATATTTTAGGGAAGCTCACACAGAATTGATAGCATAACTCAAATCTTAGATCTTTAACAAGCATACCAGATTAGTACTAAATCCAAGACTATGCACAAGTGCACCTACTCGTTTGCAGAACGACGACGTATAAGCCATATATAAGGTTGTTGGTGTTTGTTGTTTTGTGGGATTTAAAGTATATATTTGTTGTCTACATGATGCTAGACAAGTAATGCCTTCCTGTCTTACTACCATATATCAACATTAAAATCAAGATTCGAAAAGTTCCAAATAATGTTATATATAAATACATGGAGGACTTATATATGAGAGATATCTATAGACAAGTTGGATATATAATGGATGAAAAGGAGCCAAATGTCGCAAACGAAACAAAACAGATTGTGTGAAAGTTTTAGATCGATTATTTTTTTGTTGATAAAAAGTGTTGGATCGTTCTTCCAGCAAAAAAGAAGTGGTTGATGGATTGGTGCCTTTTGACTTCTCATAATGTAAATTTTTTCTACCTAAAACGGTCATTTTTTTTAACCACATCAACTGCTAATTTTGCAATATTTTTGTTATCAACAACATGTAGTATGTAAGTTTGAATTTGAATAGTGATGTATCAATTATATTAAAATAAATTTCTAAATAACATATTTTAGTCACTACAATAGAAACAAAATACAAACCATTTTTAAGTGCTAAGATTTTAAATTCATGTCCTAATATTAGTTGACATTTTTTTATTTATGAAAATTTTCCACACTTCTTTTAAAATGTACTACAGTTTTAAACAACGCAAAATTTCGTTGACTGTTTTTTTTTCCTGTTAAACTACAGAATATTAGATGTTATGGTCCAGATATTTTTATTTGAAATTAAAGAAAAGTTACTTTCAAAGTCATTTTCCAATTCTTTAAAAATAATATAGTAGAAAGCAAAAGATAAAAAATAATAATAAAAGGCTAGGTCGGAACAAGTGTGAAAGCAACGGTTTAGTCGAGATTTTTGCGTTCGCGTCATGGTATCGGCCGGCTTGTGGGTCATTCGGTCATTCCTATTGCACCAAAACTCTCTAAATTTATTACAATTAACATAAATATTTAAATATGGTTTACCTTCACAAATTGCAACATTTTAATAAGCTCTTTCTTTACAGCTCATTTTGAAAAGAAAACAAAAAAAACTTTACAACAACTTGTGAGACTTGAGGAGACGACTCGACCTAATTTATATATTTTTAATCCATTTAACTAAATATCTGAAGGATATTTCCAAAACCATCTTTAGTATTGTATCATCAATTTCGATTGCATCATTTCTCATCCCTCTTAGTTGGCGGTAGTTATTACCAATTTGTATCATTGTTGATATGAACGAAATTTATTGAAGGTCTATATCTACTCTCATTATCAATATGACCCATAATAGACTTTAATTGAATACATCCATTGACAGTTGTTTGTTGAAGACAAGCTTTCCACTAAATGTGCATTACCATATCATATACATAGATAGAACGAAAACATAAAGTTATTAGGAGTGTAAGGTGTTAATTTAGATCATTTTGAGGCATTAGTATTATATTAACACTATAATTCACTAAATATGAATATGAAATAACTTGAATTTCACTATTCATTCTAAACACAAGTAAACTATAGTTATTTCTAAATCCATGTGTTTGAAGATATCTGAATTGTGGCAGCCAAACTTTTAACTGTATGATTGTTTCATACATGGGCACCATTCAAGATCGATAAAAACAAGTTTTCAAAGTTGGTTTAATGTGTGGAAATGTCGCGGTTGCACTTTGATGCTGACTAGTCGGAGATAGTACTTATGAGACTAGATTACTCGATCCCACACATGATTGAATGCTATCTTAGCTTTTGTGGGGAACATCTTTGATGGGTCAAACTCAAATGTATACGGAGATTTTTCAAATACAGAAGATTTACGCCAAATCATCGTTATAATAACTACTACTCCCTCCGTTTCATATTAAGTGTCGTTTTAGATTTAAAAATTTGTTACAAAATAAGTGTCGTTTTGTATTTTCAATGTAGATGTTTGTAAAAATTTCCAGTTTTACCCATACTTTATTAATGTGCTGACCAATGAAATTTTTTGTATAATATATTAATAAGGGGTAAACAAAAAATTTAATGATTTTCTTAATATGTGTGAAAAAACCTTAAACGACACTTATAGTGAAACAGAGTGAGTATTAGAATTATGAACAATCATCAGCATTAAATATTAATTGATAGGAAGTAGGAAGTATCTATAAAGTCAATAGTCAAACGTTCTACAAAAAATACAAGTCCCAAAACTACAGACCCATTAGAAATTTGAACATTATTATTCCAAGCCTCTCTGTTTTTTTTTGAATCACTTAGGGATTAAGAGGAAAGAGCAATGCAGAAAATCTTGCTTTCCCCTTTAACCTTCTGTTTAAGACGATAACAAAGAACATAAGAAAAGTAATCGTCCGATTAAAAGTTAAGAAACAAACACATTTATGCAACTTCTTAAGCCACTCATTCCTTTGATACACTATCGATAGCAAAAAGCCTGACATTAAAGGTAGCAACTTGGAAGCAAAATTCTCAATAACTTGTCAAGAAATCTGCAAATATAACTTCAAGGCATAATAAACAATCTCATACTAAGGAAATGTCATTACATCACATTAATTCTCCAGAACCTAAACCTAATCTATTAATCTACCTAACTGATGAAGTCATAATTAAGGAAGAGCTCTAATCCTTAGATGTAACCAGATTTCACTTTGTCCTACACAAATTCCACGAAGTAGAGTCATAAGCATTGCAATGTGAAGTCGATATAATCCACTCTGCACAAGGAGCAGGCTTATCGCACACGTAACAGTAACACTGCATAGCAATACAAACATCAAACACAAAGTTAATCCATTTCATACATCAAATCCACAAAGAAAAAGTGTTAAAATTACCAAATCACAATGGCTTGGATTAGGAGTTGATCCAAATGGAAAATTAAAACATAAATGTCTTGGATGTGGATAATCTCTACAAGCCACCTATCAAATCATATCAAATTCCATCAAAAATATCAAATTTTGGAATAAACCCTAATTTAAAAACCTTAAATTTCAAAGCTCAAACCTGTCCTGTTTCATGGATAATGGCTAAATCTTTATCACCTTCATGATGATCATCATCGGTAAAGGTGAGTTTTTTAACGTCGAACGAATCAAAAGGATCGAAATCGAGGATAAAGCAATCCTCTGTTTCTTCGAATCTTTTCATGTCTTGTCTTGTTTTCAGACAGAATATGCCTCTTAGTGGTGTGTCATCTTCTTCCTTTTTCTCCATTTTTTTCTCTCACAAGTCGCCGAGATTGAAACGGAAGAGTGAGAGACCAAACGTTGCTCTTCCTTGAGCATTTCCACAAAAAACGTAACAACATAGTTAATGTAGGTTTGGGAAATTAATTTGGAGTTTTATTAATTAAAATTAGCCTAGATTAGTATATCGTGATATTTAGGTTTTATCAAAATCAATTAAAAAAAAAAATCAACCAAAATCTCATGTGGTAGTGATTAGTGAACGTAGGTTTAATTTTTGTTTTTATGTTAAATAAATCATTAGATAAACATTAAGGATAATCTTTATCTTTTGTTGGTGTATATCTTTAATTCTAGAAGATATGGCCAAGATCAATAATTTAAGATTGTTTTGGATTTTTTCATAATTTTTCCAAAAAAGGAGCTACACTGTTTTATTTTGAGGTTTAGATGGAGCAATCAGAAAAGCCTTCTATAATTTAAAATATGGGCCTAACTCTTAGTCCAATTAGATTTAATTAAGTGATTGGCTTGTTAATTTCATTACTCACAGGTAGTTTTGATTGAGTGATTGGCTTATCATAGCTTCAATACATCAATAAGCCTGATGTATTGAAGCTTGCAAGTTGGGACTAGAGAGCTAGCAATACTCTTAAAGAAGTTGTTGGTTCCAAGTTAATTAGGTCATTTCTATAAAACCGCTTTGTGTAAGGAGGTCTGAACTTTGACCCGTCTAACCGAGGTCGACGTTGGAATCTTTCAGCCAATAACAATTCGGCTAGCAAATGCATTTCAAACATTACCAATCCCATAATTAGTTACGCATTGTCATTACATAGTACTCTTCCAAAGCTAATCTTAATCGGAGTCATAATAGCTCTCACTCTCATGGGTTGGTAACTTCCTCACCATAGAGTCTTTCTGAAGCATTGCAATGCGAAGACATCCATAGTGCACAAGGAGCAGGCTTATCGCACACGTAACAGTAACACTGCATAATATTGTTGATCTCTACTGTTAAAACAATTTTCATATCTAAGCGAGAAAAAGACAGTTTCATAGGAGATATTTAGGAAAACATTAAACAAAAAGTTAAGTCCATTTCATACTTCACTTTTTACTTAAGCCCTTTAAACAAAAGATTAATAATTACCAGATCACAGTGTGTTGCGTTGGAAGTTGATCCAAAGGGAAAGTTCAAGCAAAGATGTCTCGGATGTGGATAATCTCTACAAGCCACCTGCTCAATATATTTCATCACATTTTCAAGATTATAAACATATATATATATATAAACCCTAAATTTATAACCTTAATTTTAAAACTCAAACCTGGCCCGTCTCATGGATGATTTCCAAATCTTTATCAAGGGAATATGAGAGCCTTTTAACGTCAAACGAATCAAAAGGATTGAAATCGAGAATGAAGCAGTCCTCTGTTTCCTCGATTCTCTTCATGTCTTGTCTGGTTTTCACACAGAAAATGCCTCTGAGTGGTGGACTCCCTTCTTCTTTCAATGATGATGTCTTTGTTCTCGCCTTCGTCTCCATTTACTTCCCCAACTCGTAGAGATCGGTAGGAAAGAGTGGAAGGCCAAACGTTGCAACTAGAGCAGCGTCTTTATGTTTTAGATTTTTAGTCATAAAGAGTAGTTTCTGACTTCTAGACGTAAAACAAATCGAGTGAGAGAAGGGATAATTGCAATTAGAGTAAGGCCTAATGCTTTAGTAATATGAGCCCAACTTAATGGCCCAAAACTTGGTAGAATATTAAGAATTTGGTTGGTTATGATAATAAGGAAAAACTTCAAAAATATTCTCAAAACAAAAGAATTATTTCAAAACACCTCTCAACCTAAGAAATACACCAAAGACATAAGCTGTTGATTCGGAAAAGGGCTTAGCTTTGCCTTCATGATAGTTATAAACTTATAATGGTGTGTCTACTGATATATATGGAGGGCCTAGGTGTGAAGTCTGATATTTACGCTTGTTCGTAAATATTCAGATCATCCTCTAGTTTAAAAAAAAAAAAAAAAATCAGATATATATGTATATGTTTGTTCATATATTTATCATATGCATGAAAACAAAAATGTAGCAGATTATTTATTTGTGAATTTCATGTCGAGCAACCACCAAAAGGGTACAACTCATTTCCATTTTTTTCTATTTATTTTACGTTATAATTCATTTCCACCATAAACACTATTTTACTTATTCTTTTATGGATAATATAAGGCACGTTTTGTGATCATGACGTATAACACGGTAGTAGGGGGAAAAATGTCGTTTAATCTCTCAACTTTCAAAAAGTGGTCATTCAATACATCAACTTCTTATAAGGCCATTTTAAACACTAACTTAGCGTTGACCAAACAATTGACCCATGAGATTGCGTTGACCCAGTCCATTTAGACATGTCGTTAAATCTGATAACAGACCCATTAACAGACGTTTACATCCGTTAGTGACCAAAACGTGGTTGTTTTATACTTAACGAAATCAAATCGAGATTTTTCTAAAAGAAATCCCCAAATTGAAAAACGAAATCCCTACTTCTCCAAACAAATGAAACCTAATTCTCTCCAACGATCTTGAATCTGTCTTCACTAATGCCATTAGTTAGACACAACAACGTCATATCGGAGATTGGGTCACCAATGGAAGGCGAATTAGAGAGTTTTGGAGCTAGAGTTGAAGCTCGCGAAGCAGAGACTGTTATCAGAGATGGAGATGGAGAATTCAGAGAAGAAGAAGAAGAAGAAGAAGAAGAAGAAGATTAAGAAAAAGAAGAAGAAGAATCTGAGAATTGGAATTGAAAATCGATTTTAGGGTTTCTGTTTTGATTTGGGGATTTTTGAGATTGGGGATTTCGTTTAAGTATAAAACGACCATATTTTGGTCACTAACAGAGAAACGTTAACGGATGTAAACGTCAGTTAATGGGTCTGTTATCGGATTTAACGACGTGTCTAAATGGGCCGGGTCAACGCAATCTCATTGGTCAATTGTTTGGTCAACGCTAAGTTGATGTTTAAAATGGCCTTATAAGAAGTTGATGTATTGAATGACCACTTTTTGAAAGTTGGGAGATTAAACGACATTTTTCCCCGGTAGTAGGTAGGACTTTTTTTAAAAAAAAATTCTCAATAAGACTTTGAAAATTGAAATACCGTTTTTTCTTTCAAATTGCTATTATAAACTTTTTCAGATTAAAGCTATACTTCAAAAACTGTCATATCTTAATTTTACTATGATTAAGAAAATTAATCATCAAAGTAAACTACTATACAAGGGTCATTACTTCAATTATATAAGTACACTGGATAATAACTTGACTGCATAATTTAAGTAGATCATGATCTTTTGGATAACTTCGTCAAAAAATAGTATTTTGTTTTTCAACTATCCTTTTTATGTAGTACTTTTGATCTTCATAAACCTTATTAGATGTTTATGTTTTCGTTAATTATAAAATTTTCTATACAAAAATCATTTCCAAGCATTGACAGATTACTCTTAAACTGGAAACTGGTGTATAATTTCAGAGTCGTTCCTAGGAGTATAAAGACCAGAGGCAATGCTAAAAAGATTCTTCAAATCATATAAAACAAAACTTAAGAAAAAAATAACCACTATCATCCTAAATAGATAAAAACCTAGAGTATAAATCAAAGATTAATTCTAAATCATCTTTTTTCTTTCTTTTGCTATTACAAAATTATCAACCAAGCTTTCAAAATTAAAATGTTTAGCCAACTCCTTTTCGATAGATAAAATAGCCAAGTCACTTAATCTTTTTTGTCACATACTCAAGATTAGTTTTACTTTCAATTTAATATTCTAAATAAAAATAAAAATCTAAAGGCTAGTATTAGATGAAACAACATTATTATGAAGAAAGTTCTTCCCAATTGATTACGAAAACAAAATGCCGTCGATTGTAATTGTAAGTCAACAATGATTAAGAAACTTACTAATGTTTGGTTTTCTATTAGACTTTTAGCTAATTGAAAAATATTTTTGTTTAACCCAAAATTGTAACATTTTTCTACCTAAGAAATTAATAGCCTTTGGTTTATTTTTGCAGAAAAAGGCCGTAGACCAAAGTTTATTTTCTAATGCCTTAGAACAATGGGACTGTTGATAAAAAAATTAAACTGTTTAATTGTTACAATGAGGTGTTGAACAAATTGTTTAATCCGATGTGGATTAATCTGAGTTGAATCGCAGGAGAGACTAGAGAGAGAGAAACAGTGTCATGTGGCATGTTCTTATTGGCTGTTGAGTTTTTTGAGCTTTTTTTTACCCTAATTATTTAAATCAATAATCTATGGTAAATCAATATTTTTATTTTTTATTTCTATACCAGAATTCATCATTTTTATTTTGTATTTTTTTTTAATTACGATATCTATTTCTTATTTTTATTATTTGAAAGAAAACAATAAGAATCTAACTAACAAAATTTATCTAACTTTTAATAATTTTAATTTTATTTTAAATGGTAATTTTTATTATTATATAATCACAAAAATACAAATACAAAATAAAATACAAATATAAAATAAAGTAGATAGATTGTTGAATTTTATTAAATAAGACTATTGTAGAATGAAAAAATTGATTGTGTTGAATTAATTGGTGGAAGAGAGAGAAGATGATGTGGATGGTTAAAAAAGAAAAGTAGAGTGTTGAAAATAAAAACCATTGTTGATAGTCTTAGGCACGGGCATTGACAGATCAAATTATTGTCAATTTATTTGACTTGTAGTTGTCGACTTGTCGTAGGTGAGAAATATCAAATATTTTTCTTCGTTAAACAATTCAAAGAAAGATAACCAACTATGATGGCTCTATAAAAATAAAAAGTCGTATAGAAAATTAAGATGGAGTAAAGGTATTACGATAAATATTTTTAAAATAAACTTAAGTATTACGTATATATATCGTAAAAGAGAAAAGGAATTATTTTGTGCCGAACTCAATTTCATAATAAAAAAAAACATATTATATGAATTTAATTAAAGCATATTTAGGTAAAACTTTTCAATCCTTTCTTATTTTCTTTTGAAGTAGCTGACATTCTATGAAAAGAAAATGTCAAGGAAATGAATAACGTTGAAAAAAATGATACGATTTT